CGAATCCAGAATCTATTCTTGCATGCGCAGGGTCGCAGTGTACCTGGAAGAGCGGCGATGTGCGCAACGTCGTACATGAATTTAATCTCCGCACCTCTCAATGTTTTGAGACACACTCGCATGGGGATCCAGTCGACTCTGAAGTGGCTTCGGGGCGCTCCCAATAGTATGGTCAACGGGATGCCTGGGTTTGCAGACAGATCTGATGCAGATGGGATCGTGTAATCTGGAAGTCATCTGAGACGAGCATCCCGATGTGGAAGTTCCATGTTTGCTTTTCCTCGGGAAGGGAGCAGCACGCCATGCGATCATTTCATATGGCTATGGTTTGATCACGCATGCGTCGGGGTCGACGGAGTCGATGACAGATATGAGTAGTACATCCCGAGGATCGCTTCTGATGAGGTAGCTTCGAGAACAAATTGCTGATGAGCTGCTCGATAGCCATGAACTTCAGTCGTGAGAGAAGGACTATGCATTGAGCTTTACGCATGATGCGGACGCAGCGATTGATTGGTCAACAAGGTAATCGATAAGTGGCTGTTATGGATGTGTAGCTTTGCAATAGCGAAATGGAGTTAAGGAAGCGCAAGCGTCTGAAAGAGGGTTGATGAAGTGGGACCTGGACAAAACTTCGGCGAGGTTTTGCATCTAGCGGTCAGGTTGACGAGTAGGTCCCAGATTGTCGGATCTCGTGATAAAAAAGAGCCTGTCCAGTCAGCTGGTTCCGGTCGCTGTAATCCGCTTCCGCGAAAGCACCACATCATTTTCAGCCTCCACGGTTCGACAAATCAAGTCTTTAGTAGACCGCGTACGGCGCTAAAGTGAGCAGTCCTTGCCGTCCTTCCTACCCAAGCTCTCGCGCATGTTGCGCAAATCGAATGCGGCCACTAGGAGGCGGGACGAGGTGAGGGACAGGGGCGCCCTGTCAAACGACCGGTCGTGCTGGAAAACCTCAAAGCCTGGAGGGAATGCTAGACCACAGACCAGGGTCTTAAGAAGTAAGATGTCTCGAAGTTATCGATGATCCAGAGCTCAAGAATATACGAGTGACAAATATAGTGTTAACTCGAAGCCAAATATCGGCCGTGATGGAAATCTCGTGTGAGCAGATCTTGTACACAAGGCCACACATGATGGGGATGCGGCAAATTCCTTTTGGAACCCTGCAGAACCGGTTTGCGTAACAACGTTCGGAAGACAGACCGGGAGGACGGCAAAATCGAGGTAGGGCGTGTTACACGATCCGGTAAAGCTGGGTAAACAGCTCTCCATGAAGCTGACAGATGTCTAAGATGCCATGTGAGAGCTGCACGTAGCCGTTCGTGATACGAGGATCAGCTTCCGAGTATTGCTATCCTGGCGCGCATTGACTCGCGGAGAACTTCGGAGCAGGTTAGTGATGGCACCGAGAGTTGCATTGAGTTCTTCGGAAGGGTTTGCGGAAATGATGTTCATGGTAGCTGGAGGTGGCTGCCAAAAGGGCAGGCGCGCACGGACAATGTCCTTGCTGAAGCCTGAGGTAAGAACTTGTCTTTTTCCGCCAAGCTGATGGCGATGCCGCAAAGTACAGCGGCGCGTGTCACGCAGGCTTATACCAGGGCGATGGGCCGGTAATTGGTGGTCTGGCAGAGGCCACGCAGCTATACCATGACGTTGGTCCGTGGTCGTGCCTCGGATCGGCAATCGTGCGATGCTAGCCGTAGGGCGGACCGGCGCTACTGGCTGGGAGATGCACATCAAGAACGCCATACTCCAGAGCTCCATGGGCGACATGATGCTGGCGGCAACGCTAAGCCGATGCGCAACACGCACAGGGGCGGCGTCAATCACCATGCTAGAAAAGATGGAAGCAGGCGGACGCGTTTTGGAACTGGGCGACACTCAGCTCAGACCAATAGCGCAGGGCGGCAAGCCACGAGAGACCTGCAGCCCACTGCAACAGGTAAAAGTCTTCTAAATGCTGGCAGTCCGAGGAGTCTGTATAAGACGGCGTACTCACCGTCTCTGAGCTGGTCGATTGACTACAGGAAGCAGACTGCCGCCCAGAACTCCAAGGCATTGGCTCCAGACTCCTTCATCAAGTGAGACAATCTTCATCTCCTCCGCCATCGACGACGATCCACGACGTCCCGAAGCCGCTTCCAGGCTTGTCTCCAGCCGTGTGCATAGAATAGTGCTTGACGTCGAACACGGCAGCCAAGGAGAGGTACGTCGGAAGTGCTCCATTGATTGCAGAGGGTGTGGTCCTGGAGAAATGGCGCCCCATTGGCGGTTCTGTCGTCAATGCAAAGCAGTTATGGGTGTTGGATGAGAAAAGACACGTCTGGCTGTGTGGGCAAAGCATGGCTGATATACAACAGCAGCATAGAACGTCCCAGGACTCTGACAAAGCCGGCGCCTTCTAGAGGCCCCAAAGAAGCCCCCTGCCCAGCCGATATCGACGCTGCAACAGTGAGATAGAGGCACAGCCGCTGCCGGCATCACCTTGTCAAGTCACGTCAGGCACGACTCGCACAGCGAAGAAGTGCAGCGTCATCGTGACACGCCACAAGTCAACGGCGGAATAATATCCCGCACACGCTCAGGAACAGGCGGGCGGGAGTGACAGGGCAGAAGGTGAGCAGTTCATTTCGCTTGGTTGCTCGTTCATCCTGTCCTTATCCTACATCCCTGTTGCCACATGGCCGGCCGGGTTCCTGTGACGCATCACATTCGTCAATTTCCCTGCAACACCATCTGCTGCATCTCTACCACACACTCCGCGCTGTCTTTTCCTTCTCTGGCCGTCCGTTGTCCGCTGTTGTACGCGTCTCTCCGAACTCCGCGCATGGATAGCTGCCCGCCTTTTAGCCGCATCGCTGCATTAACAGCGCAGAGGCAGGCGCAAAGGGCAGTCTCTCCACTGGAGGGCCGCCGGGATGTGGGGCAGTACCGGGGGCCTAAGCGGGCTGGCGAGCGACTTCCAAACCTCAACCTCTGCCTATATCCGTCGAAATATCGCTTGCTGCTGCACTCTTGCTCTCTGCTAGGCGGCTATGAGATTAAAGGGCCCTAGTATTGGGTTCAACTGCACCGAACGATCCATCGTCATCCTAATGGAGGGGCGGCCCCATGTTCACCAAGCGAGTTTAGATGAGAGGTCTGACTCGTGGCTTGACTTCATTTCCTATATCTTTACTATCCAACATCGCCTATCGTTGATATAAGGCCTCGTCATATGTTGGAGTCTCTTCACAGTCTTTTCAGTCAGCTTGGACACCAACAATTTGTTACTTTCCTTGCTTTTCCCACATCATTTCCCGGCCGCCTCAACAACAAAAGACAGCACTCCACAACATAGCAGCAGAGCTATCATCTGTCTGACTCACAGTCTTTAATGAAACTTTACTAAGAGAAACAGGTTCAGCCTTCTTCAGATGCGAAGGGGCCCACGACGTGGACGAGGTAGAAACCAACATCCCACCCGCGGCGCATCTTCTCGGCGAGATACGTCAAACCCTCCATCAGCATCCAACTCCAGAACTACTTCGCGACACACTACCGTCGGAAACAGCCGCAGCCACGCGTCACTAAGACGCTCCGCTCGTATCGCAGGATTACTCAACGGCGAGACTGATCATCAGCTAGCCAACGCCACATCCTCGATGGCCGACGTCGCAAGACCAAGGGCGCTAGGAAGCAGGTCCGTTCGTTCAAGACATCACTCCGGAAACGCCCGCACTTCAGGAAGATCAAGATCAGACCAGCATTCCCTGTCTCCGGAAGAGATCCGGTACGCCATGGACATCGTGGTGCAGCCACCACGAACTGCTCGGGTTGGTCAGACTTTGCCTGGATCCATCGTCGTGCGATTACGAACCACCAACGCGGACACAGATGAAGCTGTTGCGGACTCGACTAATCTGGTTGCTGTCGCCGCCCTGGTACCTGGTCCAAACACCCCAGCATCTGTGGACACAAATGCTCTCAATGCGCTGCTCACGGGGCGTGTCTTCGATTCTATTCATCCTTTCAACGACGATGAAGCAGACGGATCGATTGCCTCTATGGACATGGCCGACCCTCATGGCGTAGGCTACATGCGCTTTCCCGAGCTCGTCATTCGCCAGGCTGGTACCTATCGGATACGGATCACGCTCATCCGGATTCGTAGCTCTGCTACCGACCCACCAGTCACGTCTGCAGGCAACGGCTTGGCAGTGCATGTTGTCGATAGCAACCCAATCGTGGTTAATGGGGGTGGATCTTCGTCAAACATGGCTGCATACAATGGTAAGTATCTAGTGGCAACCTATTGATTTTCTTCAGTTTCCTGATACTTTCTTGTCGCATACATAGGGGACGGCGATGTTGACGATGGTGGTTGGCTCGACGTTCTGCGTTCCATTCAGGATCGGCGCATCTCGCGGTAGTGCTACGTTTCGGTCTTATGTTGGGTGGCATCTTGTACGACTAGTGGGGTTCTTCTGGGGATCGTGATGATTTATGGGGAAGCAACTGTTTTGGTTGCATATGGAACGGCCATATCGCGAGACTACGAGGTTGGTGTGACTGAGGTCTGAGCTTAGTGTCAATCGGGCTGCAGAGTTTCACAGGCTCGATGAGGGAAACGTTGCTATCTTTCTTCGTTTTAGATGCATGGTATCATTAGCTGTGTATGCATGCCTCAATTGGAGGTAAAGGAGGCACCATAATCAATCTCTCATACTTCCAAATTTCCAAAATCCATGTGCGCCCATCCAATCAGGTCCTCTCGAAGAAAGAAGTATCTGCAGCACGAGCGCTCTCATACTTCTGCGACCACTACAATATGAAGGGGCAGACATAAGTCCTCTCAATCACGTCACCGGGTGGCCTATTCAGAGAGCAGCAACTTTGACATTCGTGACTAAACAGAAACACCGCAACCGACTATTTACAAGTCCAAACTCATCATGGTCCTTCCTTGACCACATCTACTCCACTATCCACTACCTTATCTCTCACTCCAATAATCTCTACTCAAAGTCGATGTCCGCGCTAGGGTTTCCAATGCCAATAACACTACCACTTCCGCCACCCGATCCAGTCGGTGTGCACTTCCTCCACGCAACATGAAGCTGCTGGGTGAAAGCAACAGTAGCATCATCGTTGCTCATCTCACCCGCCTGATCAGACTTCTTGTTCGTAAGTGAGATTCTGTTGTTGATGTTGAGGATGCCGTTCTGGCCACAGGGCGACCAGATGGTGGCGGTGGTCTCAACGCTGTCTTGCTTGGTGTAGACTTGGCCGGTCAGGAGGGCGCCGCCGCCTACGGCTGACATGCGCGTGGTTTGCGTCTTGCCGGCGTCTTGCGAGAAGTAATAGGTCGTGATGAAGCTGCCGGTTACGCCTTCGTCGAGACGCGCCCAGCCGTGGTAGGTGGCGTCTACGACGGCGTACTGGAAGCCGCCGGGGTACTTCAAGTTCAGGTGGAGCTGGCAGTTCTTGCTGCGGTCTGGGGGAGGATTTTTAGTATTTTTCCCCCTTGAGGAATGTAGGTTCAATCCTACCTGCTGGTACAGTGCCGGGACCGATGTAGGTCTGGAATTGATCGAATCCATAAGTGATGACCTGGTTGTAGTGTGAGCTGATTTCCTTACCATGTCGACTCTCCAGTCCTTTGGGGGTATGTAGTGCCATGGATCGCGGAAGTAAGACTACATCCGTCCCCTAAGCCCAGTATGGAAGTGTTGGGATGATACTCACAGTCTTGTCCGTCGAGGTACTGGTGGACACGGAGCCTTGAGGACATCCGTTACCAGAGTATGACGTGTCAACGATAGTGATCTGCTCTGCGGGAGGAGCATCCTCAGAAGTAGTCTGGGGCAGAGGGTTGGCCGCGGCGAGGACCGGGAGGAGGAGAGCAGCAATTCTGGCGTGCATGTTTGCTTGTGCGGAGACAAAGACCGTTGATAATGGGCGTTGAAGTGAGTGTTGTTAATGGAGGTCGTTGATCTGAGATGGGTTTCAACAAGAAGGCATGAAGACTTGCTTTATACACCGCATCTTTTCGCGGGTTTAGACCATCATGCCGTGCAGAGCCTCGCTATGCGGCCTCGAATATGTTCCGACATGGTTGTTGCCGTAGTCTGGAGACAATGTGGCCTGGAAACAGCTAGTCCAGCTCCCAAATTTAGCTTCGGGAGGAGTAATTCGGTATTAAGACAACGGTATCTAAACACTGAGCCAGGGTGGTTGAGATGCTCCTTAGATTGAGTGACCTGGTACCGCCGAAATCGGGACCTTGACGATATGAGGAATACGAGCCTATGACCAAGAGCCACTGAAGATGAATGGAGGCCAGCAAGTTACATAGGCAGTGATCTGCGTTGTAGTCAGAGGTCTGTTGCACTCGGCGGCCTTTCGGTGGTGGCGTGGCACCATGATCCAAGAGGACAAAAAAGCATTATAGTGAGAATACGAAAAGCTTGGGTGTATCTTTAATTGCCATGTTGTGTGCAGCGAGGCTCTGGACTTGCATGATAGTGCTCTGCCGCGGATTGACGCGCTTAAAATAGTCTCCAGCATCGGTGAGGCAATATCGCCGTACCTGGGGTGGAGTTGAAGATCAGGTGATGCGTGACCGGCAGCCAAACCGACGAGCTCGGATAGTATAGCCATATCCAGGTCCCGAATTCCTGGGGTATTGTGCTTACAGAGCTTGGTCTCGACTGGTACTCCGTAATTTAACGCGCAATATGTTTGCTCGGTAAACGGGTCGCTTAATTGGGTAATATGCGATCTGGTAAATCCTCGCTCGTCTCTTCCGATCAATATGCAGGGTTTACCCGGGATCATCAGCCATACGGTGATCTAAGCTTGCGTCTTCAAGAAGGAATGTATAGACAAGTAGAGTAAAACCATCTCCACTCGTTTTGACTTGTCTCAATTTCCTCGCATATGAATGTACATTAATCGATCCGTCGGGGGGTTCTGTTCGCCTCAAATCTCGGTTCGGGCAACGTTCTCGCCTCCGGATAATGCAATATACGGAATCACAAGACTTGTTGATGCTGCCGTTCTGTTCAGCTCATGTGTTTGGTAGAGTTTCGCGAAGACAACTCCACGCCGTGCTGATCATTTGGCTCATCCGCACAGAACAGAAAGACATGTTGGAGGTCTGGATCGTCCACGAAGCTCTGCAGTCGCTTGCAGTTCGCTCTTCATAGATCATGGCAAGAAGGTTTGCCACACCAGGAGATACAAAAGTGCCCGGAGTGATCAAGAGAACGGTCGGCCCTGTATGCGAACACTGTCATGCATCCACATGCCAGCTTTTCAAGGTCAGACAACAAGTAGGTTGTCTCCATGGAACACCAAAGGCGCAAGCTGAGAGGATCGTTATAGTAGTGTACTCCACAACTACCTAGTTGGTAAGCTTTGTCTTTGCCATACTCGATCGAAGTCGGAAATTGCAACAAGCCCCTACGCATGTATTGAGACGAGATGAACGAGACGACGAAGCGACCGTTCGCAGCCCAGCTCTGGAACCCGAGAAAAGCTCCCAATATGTGAGCGCTTATGTTTTTTTGGGATGTACCCAAGACCCAGATCCTGCGATCTCATCTACCAAACAGACGAGGACAATGCGCTCCGGGGCGTCGATCATTACGCATGGAAGAGGGAGTACATCCTCGCTGTTGCGCTGAGCAATGGCCGCTACGGTTTGTTAAGTCCGAAGGAAACCCCTTCGCCGTCATCAGTGGGCTAGGCGGATCTCGGCAGCGACACCGTATAGAGATGCCTCCGGCCGAGGTGTGGCTCAGGAGGCCTAAGTGGCTCATGCGCTCGGCTTGTTTACGTTTCGCATTCGCGATACCGAGAGTGAGTTGGTCTATTTGCGGTGGCGTTTTTGATTCAGACTCTGCAGAAGCCTAGTTCAGCTGAACAAGTGAGCTGACCTACAGCATGAGTCGCTGAGTTATTTGTGAGCATGTGTTTGGTACCCCGCGATTAATCCGACATATTCGATGACAAAGTCGTGGCGGAGGCGCAAGCCAAGATGGCGGGACATGCCTGACGTCAAGCCACAGACGACACTGAGGGGCCAGAGCATTGGCAAGACAGCTGAGGAACACAGACGGACTTAGTTGAGAGATGGTGACAGGGCAGCCGTTGACGCTCAATCGCGGTAGGAGTAGAAGCGTGGTGAGGCTGAGCAATGCCAGGGCCTAGCCAAACCTTAGGGCGCTAGCGAGATCGACCGAGCCGTTTAGGCAGTCTCCACTCCGTGTGTTCCGGAGCGATCCACACCGGATTTTCCTTGTCTCCTGGAGTCCATCACCACAGGATTAGCAACAGTTGTGCTAGATCGTCGATTATCCCGCCAGCGCACAGCAGTGCATCGTGGGGTGACCCTGGGAACATCTCCCGTCTAGCAACTATCGATAGTGTTGAGACGTACGAACGCCATCACGAGTGTTGATCAAGCAGACGAACAGCAAGGCCGCAACACCAGACTGCGAAGACGACAAGGGATACAGTATGAGGTTACTCGCCATATACCGCCAGAACCGGTCTTCGGCCCAGAAAGATGGCCGAGCAGCGTACCTAGGTATACACCGGTGTACGAGCGGGTACGCGAGATCTGCCGGGCACCAGCCAAGTGAGGGTAGGGGATTCGGGCCCCTGAGAGTCCCACGGTACGCAGCGACTCCCTGCATGACCTCTGCGACGTCCATCGACAGCATCTTTACGCGAGCATCCACATCGTCACATCTCCAGAGAATGAAGATGGCTAGCTCAGCAATCTAGCTCCTGGCCGAAGAAACTCAGATTCCGACTGCGCTCACGTGCCTCGCATCGCCGCGGGGACAGAGGAGCATAGTAATGGTGGCATCTCAGCAATCACGGAGCGATCGCGTCTTTACTCGCAATGTGCCATCCATGTGCAAATCGATGCAAGTACCAATGCTTAGCACAAGATCTGAGGAAATCCATCGCGGAGGATCCTCCAACGGGTGTAAACGACGAAACGAACACAGAAGTCGCTTTAGGCAAGGCTGAAAAGATCAACACCGCTGAAACGTTCACACATACAGTCTACCCCTGATGAGCTGATCGGGACTTCTGCGCGCGCAAGTCTGCTTCCCTGGAGGCGGACTATTGATATGTCCAACAGTAGTCTCTAAGCTAACCGGATAAGTGGGCCTTTAGAACACTTCGGGACGACGTCGGGATCAAAAATAAACTAAGCTTTCGCTTAGCGATTCGCTTTGACCGTGATGCAAAGCCTCGGGTCGTCGATACCTGCAGCGGCATCATTTCTGGTGTGTCGATCTTTGCTGTAGTATCGTCCAAAGACTTGTATAGCATCGCATCGCAACACCTTGGCCTTGGGAGGTACAGCAAAGCCTTTGACCTCGTCATTTCACGACGAGCTGAGCTGATAAGACTTACATCTATCAGGTCCAGACTCAGCCTGCCATTGGGCTCTCATTGGTGGCGGCCTCGGTACCTGCATGCGTGCTGCACGTTCCTGGCGTTGGCGACCACGACAGTTCACCCGGAGCTAGGCTAAAGTTTGGTGGACTATTGTTTCCAGGCACTGCCGCCAACTCTTTCAGGAAGACAGGTCGAACTTACCGGCCATGTTTTCGTCTCCACCCATGACATCGATCTCAAATCAGTAGTCAACCACCGAGGTCGACGGGGCATGACTATGTGCCTCTTGTGTATATAAGACCCTCTGGCACACTGGGCAGTAACTCATCATCAGCTCATCAGCATCGGTCCTTCACTACTACAATCTCCTACACTACTTTCGCTACTCTTCTATTCGATCCTTCGATATGCGTTACTCTCTCTTCCTCGGGGCTGCTGCCCTCGTGGCCGCTTCTCCTGCTCCTCAGGCATTCGATGTCAACCAATTCGATTCCATGGCCAACAACCTCGCTCAGGGCCCCAAGGCAGGCGTCGTCAGTGAGCAGGCCTACAACCAGGCCAAGGCTCAGGACGTTGCCGCCGCCGCTGCTACCGGCGCTGCCACTGCTCAGCAGGCAAAGAGGACCGTTGGTGCCCAGCTTGAGGCACGCGACCCTACCTTCTGGTGGAACTGGAACCAGCAGAACAACCCTCCTGCTCCCGCTCCTACCAAGGCTCCTGCTCCTGCCCCCACCGCCGCACCTGAGGGCAACCCGTCCTCTACCAACCTCGCACCATCTTCGTGCACCCCGGTCAGCTGGACCAACACCTTCGCGTTCACTGCCGATCCCGCTTGTGCTACTCAGATCGAGGTCGGCACCTACTGCGGATTCATCAACCCCGATGACCCATGTGCTGCTCAGCCCAACGCCTACGGCCCACCTACCACCCCCGACACTGCCGATGCTTTCAAGAACAACGAGGTCTACCACAAGATGGCTACTAGTGCTAAGTCGCCATCTGGCTACACCTCCTCTTTCGTCGACCTCAGCGCTTCCGTTGAGGGCAGCGGTTACCTCGGATACTACGAGCTTACCAGCTACGACACTGCTGCTTGCGCCGCCAAGTGCGACTCTACCTCCACCTGCACTGGTTTCAACATGTACATCGAGCGTGACCCCAAGTGGAACCCGCGCCAGTGCTCTTGCGACAAGCCCGACTCTGTCACTCGCTTCAAGTGCACTCTTTGGGGACAGGATGTCAAGAAGGAGTCTGCTACCAACGTCGGCCAGGGCCAGGATGGATTCGAGGTCGTGATAGGTAAGTTCTGGCTGTCCGAAATGCATGTGAGACATATACTGACTTCGTCCCTCTACCTCTAGTCGGTTCCAACGGTTACAACAAGGGTACCTATAACCCTCCCACTCCTCCTTCTTGCAGCAAGCCCCAATCTTGCGGCCACAAGCTCCACAACCAGCAGCCCTACTGCATGGGTCAGACTACTTTCCCCGGTCCTTTCGATCCTTCTCTCTGCGCTGCCTACGCTCAGAAGCAGAACGAGGTCAACCGCAAGCACGGCATCATTGGCGCATGGCTCTCCATGTTCGGCATGAACAAGGGTGGCTGCGTCCAGTTCCAGGCTGCTTACCTCGAGAAGGACGGCAAGGGTTTCGGTACCCACTGCCGTCTCTTCACCAAGAAGTTCCTTGCCACCCAGGCCAACCTCGACATCAGCGTCGGTGGTACCTCCAAGTGGGGCTGCCAGAAGTCCTTCACCTGGGACGTCGATGTCAACGCCAGCTTCAACTGGGGTGGCTGGTCTTACTTCAAGAACAAGCGCGACGAGTAAACGCTCGCTGCTCTTTCGACAACAACGACTTATGTCTGCATCGCATGGGCGCACCAAAATTCGAGATGGTGATGGTTGACGGTGGATATCATGACTAATACTCTTCTTCGTTTCTGTAAATAACTCTTTGGCTTTACATTGAGCATTAGCTCGTCGCATAGTCACTCCTTAGTATGATTTTAGCATCTTGGTAGTTGTAATGTAACAATATGTGCTCTTTGAACTTGCCTTCTTCTGCCCATTTCAGTACCGTCCCGATTGAACCCACTCATCTACTAGGCTTGCTCAAAAGATCCCACTCGATCGTACGACAATTTCGACAGTGGAACTCGAACAGTCAACTCCGTGAATTCGAAGACCGCTCCACGTGTACACGTTGCTCGCCTGAACAGGTCTGCAGCTTACATCGAGATGCACACACGTAAAGTGAGTGATCTGAAGTCAAAGTAAGCTTCAGGGTGTTATGTTTTTTGTTTTCTTGAACGAGGTGCTAACAGGATGCGTTGGTGGACGGAACCAAAGATACCAAGCGCGCTTCGAACGGAAGATAGACCAAACGGTCGGGACTGTGCCCCACAGCGCGTGATCGCCTGGCACGAGCGGGGAACCTTCACCCATCTTCCGTGAGAAGACAACGTTCTGAACAAAGATCCGTAACGTTCTGAATTGTAAACTTTATTGTCAAGCAACCAAGACGCACCATTTTTCGCTTTGAAACAGTCGCAGACGCATGAAGAGGAGAGAAGTGCATTACAATATGTCTCGTGGACTCGTGCATCCTGGGCTGGGTTCATGCAGGGCAGAGTGGAGGAGTGCGGGGAAGCGCTGCGCGGTCGTGTTTAATTCGGCAGAACACAAACACGAGAAAGGGAAACGCGGCCCAAAGGTACCGCCTTATTGTACCACCATGTCTCGCAAATCGTGGCACTTGTGGTGCTCACTCACACTGCATTCTGGCCTTCGTTCAGCTGCTAGCCGTGCCTTCTTTCGGAACAACTTTGGAAATCGCCAACAGATGCGGGTTCCCAGCTTCACCCTTTGCTCGTTTTCATTCGAGACAGCATGAGTCCTTCTCTGAACTGTCTCGCTGGCCGTAGGGCGCTTGCCCTCCGCCCGCAGCGGGGCAGCTTACTTGCTACTCTGAAGCAGTGTGCTGTCACCTCTGGTCTGAAAGCAACACCTCTGCTGGGACGTGGTGATCGTTCTCCAAAACATACTTTGACTACAACAAGCCTTCGGGGACTTAGCCGCCCGCACCCGCCCGCGCTTTCCCTGCAGCACCATGTCTCGCAAGTTACCGCTGTCGCACGGTATGCATCCGGGCAGGCATCGGATCCGCACGACGAGGAGCTACCTAGCACCCCGCCGTTCACTGCAGGCCCTTATTCCAACCTCACTATTGGAGTACCCAAGGAAAGCTATCCTGGCGAACGAAGGGTCGCGATTACGCCACAGGTATAGTCTCCTCTCGCATTCGCTGTTTTTGAGACATATACTTACTTGATAACCTTATTTTGCAGAACGTGAAACTCTTACTTAAGAAAGGCTTCTCGCGCATTCTCATCGAGCGTGGAGCTGGCAGTGCTGCGCAGTTTACGGATGAAGCGTTTGAGCAAGCTGGCGCGCAGACGGTCGACCGCAGGAATGTCTTCTCAGAGAGTGATATCCTGCTCAAGGTCCGGGCTCTTAGCATCGATGGAAAAGACAGCGAAGTGGATGCCATCCGAGAGGGCGCCACCGTCATCTCAATGCTATACCCGATGCAGAACAAGCCGACCGTTGATCGAATTGCTTCCCGCAAGGCCACTGCATTCGCAATGGACATGATCCCACGTATCTCACGAGCGCAAGTTTTCGATGCACTGTCGTCAATGGCGAACATTGCTGGTTACAAAGCCGTCCTGGAAGCTTCCAATACCTTTGGTCGCTTCTTGACTGGCCAAGTGACCGCTGCTGGAAAGGTGATCGTCACTTTATCCACTTCAGACCCCTGCTAAACGTTGCTAGATCCCTCCTTGCAAGGTCCTCGTAATCGGTGCCGGGGTCGCAGGACTCAGCGCGATTGCTACAGTAAGTGCGGTACTTGCCCAGATCCACGCAGTCTCACTAACCTCGGCGCCAGGCTCGACGTATGGGTGCCATTGTTCGTGGTTTCGATACTAGATCTGCAGCACGTGAGCAGGTCCAATCTCTAGGTGCGGAATTCATTGAAGTCGATATCGCCGAGGACGGCTCCGGAGCTGGCGGCTATGCCAAAGTCATGTCTAAAGAGTTCATCGAGGCCGAGATGAAACTCTTCTACGACCAGTGCCGAGAAGTTGATATTGTGATTACCACTGCCCTGATCCCAGGCAAGCCTGCACCGAAGTTAATCACGAAGGCCATGCTCGGCGCGATGAAACCCGGCTCTGTAATCGTGGACCTAGCGGCCGAAGCTGGTGGTAACTGTGAAGCTACGGAGCCGGGAAAATTGGTGGACTACAAAGGAGTATCCGTTATAGGTATATTTCGATGATGTCCTGAGATGATCCAATACTGACCGCAAATGCAGGATACACCGATCTTCCATCCCGTCTACCCACCCAGTCGTCAACTTTATATTCCAATAACGTTACCAAGTTCCTGCTATCACTGACCCCAAAGGACAAAAAGGAGAAGTACTACGATGTCGACCTCACTGACGAAGTTACCCGCGGCGCAATTGTCACCTACAATGGCAAGGTCCTTCCACCAGCTCCACGTCCGGCCCCTCCACCAGTTCAAGCTAAGCCCGCACCTTCGCCTGCCGACCAAGTCGCCAACGCTGTTGCCCTGACACCGTGGCAGACCCAGTCGCGACAGGTAGCTAGCGTGACGGCTGGCATGACTGCTGCACTAACTCTAGGTAAATTCACGGGCCCACTGTTCATGAATAATGTTTTCTTTTTCGCGCTGTCCAGTCTGATCGGATACCGAGGGTAAAGTCGCCGCCACGAATAGCTTTCAAAATATTTTGCTAACTTCTTACTAGTATGTATCCCTCGAACTACGCTTTGGCTGTTCTGAGATATCTTACTGTTCATGCTAATAACTTATAGTGGTCTGGGGCGTTGCACCTGCCTTGCACTCTCCGCTTATGAGCGTAACGAACGCCATCTCTGGTATCATCGGAGTTGGTGGCCTGTACGCTATGGGTGGCGGCTATCTTCCCGAGACCATTCCGCAAACCCTCGGGGCCTTGTCGGTTCTATTGGCCTTCGTTAACATCTCGGGTGGTTTCGTTATATCTAAGCGTATGCTTGATATGTTCAGACGACCTACTGATCCCAAAGAGTATCCCTGGCTTTATGCAGTACCCGCAGCTCTGTTTGGTGGCGGTTTCATCGCAGCAGCTTCAACTGGCATGGCAGGTCTGGTTCAAGCAGGCTACCTTGTCAGTAGTGTTCTCTGCGTGACCTCGTTGTCAGGACTTGCGTCGCAGACAACAGGTAAGTCACGACTGTACGAAGTGCATGTGTGACGTTTACTGACTTCGTACCACTATGCAGCTCGTCGCGGTAATTTTTTGGGTATACTTGGTGTTTTCTCAGGTTTTCTCGCATCTCTGGCTGCCGTCGGCTTTTCTTCTGATGTTCTCACCCAGTTCGCCGGTCTCGCTACGGTGGGTACTGTTGCTGGACTAATGATCGGACGGAGGATCACGCCTACCTCGCTGCCCCAGACGGTCGCGGCACTGCATTCGGTCGTCGGTCTCGCTGCTGTACTCACGAGTATCGGTAGCGTCCTAGGCCACTCTGGTGATATCTCAACTCTTCACATGGTTTCCGCCTACCTTGGTGTTCTCATCGGTGGTGTCACTTTCACCGGATCGATCGTTGCCTTCCTCAAGCTAGCCGCAAAGATGAGCTCGAAACCTCTGGCGCTACCTGGCCGGCATCTCATCAACAGCACGTTGCTCGGGGCGAACGTAGCAACCATGGGTGCCTTCTTAACCTACGCACCAGGCGCACCTCTTATCGGCGCAGCGTGTCTCGTTGGGAACGCAGCTCTGTCCTTTGTCAAAGGCTACACAACCACAGCCGCCATTGGCGGAGCAGATATGCCAGTCGTCATCACCGCTCTGGTAAGTCTTGACTGTAGGAAGTGCAAGTGAGACATACTGACCTCTTACCTCTACCTCTGCAGAACGCATATTCCGGGTTCGCCTTAGTAGCCGAGGGTTTCATGCTGGATAATCCTCTTTTAACAAGCGTCGGGTGAGTTCTGGCTGTACGAAGAGCATGTGAGAAATATACTGACTTCGTACCCCTACCTCTGCAGCGCCCTGATCGGTGTATCAGGCTCAATTCTTAGCTACATCATGTGCGTTGCCATGAACCGCTCGCTCACCAACGTCCTCTTCGGTGGCATAGCCCCCACAGTTCAGTCCCAGACCAAGGTCGAAGGCGAGATAACGAAGACCACATCCGAAGAAACAGCCGAAGCTCTCGTCAACGCAGAAAACGTCATCATCGTTGTCGGCTACGGCATGGCCGTGTCTAAAGCACAATACGCGCTTGCTGACTTTGTCAAAAGCCTGCGTGCGAAAGGCATAAACGTGCGCTTTGCCATTCACCCAGTCGCAGGCCGCATGCCAGGACAGTGCAACGTGCTCCTCGCTGAAGCATCCGTTCCCTATGACATTGTCCTCGAGATGGATGAGATCAACGACGACTTCCCGGAGACAGATGTCACACTTGTTATCGGCGCAAATGACACCGTTAATCCCATCGCGCTGGAACCTGGTAGTGCGATTGCGGGTATGCCGGTGCTCCACGCGTGGAAGAGCAAGCAGGTTGTTATTATGAAGAGGGGTATGGCGAGTGGATACGCCGATGTACCAAATCCGATGTTCTTCATGGAGAATACGAAGATGTTGTTTGGCGATGCTAATGAGAGCTGCAACGGTAAATCATCGCTCGGGCTGATTGATGTTCGGGATTCTGCTAACAGGACTTTAGCTGTCAAACGCGCGTTAGAGGAGAAGATTAAGGGGCTGTAGATAGATTTCGCATGGAGGATGGAAGTACTTGCATTATCGTTCGTGATCCGTAGACTGCGGTTCCCAAGAGAGTGCTTGCATAGCTCATCGTAGCAAAGACATTCTTTCACATAATTACGCTCATTCAGAGCAACGTGTCTTCCCTGTTTCCTGCAGGATTACAATAGTTCGCATTAGATCCATTTGGCCCACTACGAGAAATTCGATGAAGAGCGGGGCACACACACACCCCTGTCAGCCACGCGCAACGCGTCCAGCGCGACCCTGGCCCGATGACGTACCCTGGAAACCAATGTATCACCAAGCCTGGGAAACCTGCAAAGCGCAGTCATGTTGTAATAGCTAACGCCTCGTCGAAGCTTCCAAGATCACTCTACACTGCACACACGCAATTTGAACGAAATATCGTATACATACCAACCAACAGACATACCAGACACAAAGAACTCAACAACAGCAACATGTCTCTCCCCCTCCTCTTCACGATCCCGCCCTCGAACCGCCATGAATTCCTCCTGCTCGACACATCCTCCAAGATCACGCTGAAGTCGCTCAACGCGCAGATCACTTCTACAATCTCATCGAGTCCCAACTGCGCCGAATGTACGTCGAAGCCGAACACACCATACCAGACAGACAGCTTGGGACTTATCGCTAACGATGAAACCACAGTCATGGCGAAGCACAAGGCCGCCGACGGCCCCAAAGAGACGATCCAAGAGTTCAGGATACACTGGGATACCAAGACACGGGATGGAAAGATCTGGCCCGAGTACACTGTTGTGACGGATGAGAACTTCCCGGCGATATTGGAGTTGTTGAAGGCGAATCCCGTCATGGGCGTACTGGAGATTAAGCTGGGTAGTTCGGATTAGAGTAGAGTAGGATAGGACACTTAATCACGAGATGTTCAATAGTGCAGAAGACACAGGGACTGAGGTTTGAGAATCTCGTCTTCGTATACATTAGGATGCGACGACGGGAGCATTGCTCTAGCCTAGTCGTGGTTCGTTACACCCGGAGTATATATACTACATAAGAAAAGCTTCGATACAAATAGCGTCGAAGTCATGTGAAAGGAGAGTGCGCCAGGAGGTAGTCCGGCGTCGAAAGCCAAGTGGAGGGTATCCGTAAATAACCGATGAAAACGCCAATGTATAAAGAAAATGCCGCTGGTATGCCATACCCATTGGGCTCATGCAACATGTGATGAATGCGCCGTGTTTGTAAAAGAAAATAGAGTGAGCTGTACGCCGCCGCCGAGATCAAGAGCTGTGCAATCCTCGTGTCACTTTGGCGACTTATCCGTTGGCTCAGTGATCATCTGCTGCCAATGCACCAGATCCCGACTCAAGAAGTCCATCATCTGGGTAGTGCTCAAGTTCTTGAACTTCGCCAGGTCTGTATCCTCGTCCTTCTGCTGCTCTTGGGCCGGCTCGCCGTTTGCTGGTTGGACTGCCGGAGCGAGGCTTCCATGTTTCTCCCCTGTAGCCATCTCGACCTGTCGTTGAGCTATGTAGCTTTGCATAGCTCCGGCTGGCCTTCGTATATCGTTCCAGGAAAGTTTTTGCAGCCGCCAATTCTTTGTCTTGGTAGGTTTTTGTCCGGCTGTGCCATCGCTGCTGTCATGCCCATTGCTCGCTCCGTTTGTCATGTTCGTTTGCGGAGACTGTGCGATGTCGTTCTTGGGTGAAGTGCCGTTGGTCGCGGGCATGGTGTCTCTTGAGTACTGATTCCGCCCAAGTCGACCACGAGCCTTTTGTGGTGGACGTCCACCTCTCCGTGGGGCAGGCGCAGGCTTAGGTTCTGCGACGGGGGTATCGGGGATTGTAGCTTCGGTCGCTATTGGGGCCATAACGGGCTCTTCGATGGTAGGGGCAGGTGTGGGCTCGGGTTCCTCTGTATCTAGCGACTGTCAGCCAAAGCCTTACTCCACTAAGCACAATTCATACCGTCTCCCTTTCTTCGTTCTGCACGACCTTTTCGTCGATTCGCGGCTTCGTTTCGGTGACTTTCGCGCTCCTTCTCGCGCTGTTCTTTTTCGCGTTGGCTCTTTGCCGCAGCTCCGCGAGGTTTTTGCTTAGGAGCAGATGCCTTTGTACTATCGTCTTCCGATTCTATCACTGGCGAATTGCTAGGGGAGCGAGAGCCGGTCCGCTGTCGTTTGATCTCTGGCTTTGTCCTGCAGATTGTCAGCTAGATGTCCCTAGCGGCACGTGGAGCAGCAAGCAAGACTCACTCTTCGCTGTCGTCGCGACTCCGCTTCTTTCGATTGCCGTTCTCTGAGGCTGTACCGCCCTCATGCTTGCTTTCTTCGAGTACCTTGCGGAGCACCTCGTCTTCGTCGTAGGCGGCTCGACTGTTCATGGTCGAACGACGCTTGCCAAAGGAATCTACACTCGCCCTATTGTTGCGATCCTTGTCCTTGCCTGGGTGTCCGTCTGATTCCTTGGAAACAGAAGATTTGCGGTTCTTGCTGTGTTGTTGATCGTAGACGGGGAGGTATCGAGAGTACTTTTGACTAGAATGGCAACCTCGTTAGCTCTCCATAGATAGTAAGGTAGTGGTCGCGCGATGGAGGAAATCTAGGGCTTGAGACCAAAGACAGAGAAACCCGTAGCGGGGTACAGAGCTCAAATGAGAACGACGATAAAGACAAGCACGTACCCTTTGGGACTGGATGTAACCTTGTGGAGGTCTTTCCTGCACTCCTCGCAGAAGTACTCGTCTGGGCTGGCAGCTTCGTCCATGATGCCTACACAGCCTCCGTGTTGCCAGACCTTGCAGACGTCGCACTGAATGAACAGTCCGCCAAGTTCATCGGCTTGCACATCTGGGTCCGCGAGAGCAGACATGGACTTGGGAGTGTCAGATGGCGGGCCCGGGTACTCCTGGTAGCCACACACGCATCTGGTAACCTCATCCTCCTCTGCGATGTCATCTTCGAGCTCATCGTCGAGCTTCGCCGACTCGTCCTCGTCATTGTCGTGCTCGCGTGTTCGTCGGCGTGTCAGAGGCGGCTCGGGCTGCACGCCGTGAGGCGGTTCTTCGGGCTCTTCCGAAGAGAGCGAGTGTGGGGTCGACGACTTTGGCGGCGATGTCTGTTTGGGATTGACTCTGGATGCACGATCGGTACGCGCTGATGAGACGGAGGATGAGGAGTTGCTGTGCGTTGCGACGCTGGGTGGGGGCTGGGTGGTGCGAGCCCGCGATGACCGTCGCGGCGACATTGTTCCTGTAGCTGTCGCTATCGGCAAATGCAATAGCTGAGCAGTGTATGAGCGAGAGCGATGCTGGCGAGCTGGGTGGTGTTGGATGCGCTTGGGAGGATGGCCGGCCGAACGAGGTCAAAGGCGGGAGGGAGGACTAGAAGGACGCGGTAGTGGACCGTGACGTGACGGAAGCGATGCAAGTCAATGGCAGAGGCGTCGCTATCGCGCAAGGACGACGCTCTCGTCGGCGACAGTAGTGTCTGCTGGAGCGCAACGGTGACGCTGCAGGTGCGGAGACAGCGGGCCAAAAGCTCCACGAGCTTCAGAGCGCGGCAAGGGAATGGATGGACGACTGGAAAAGAATGCCGAGGTGCGACAGGAACATGATATGGCTTGGAGCGGGCGTCTGGGGAGCTGGACCGGGACAATGCTGTGGGAGTGACCGAGCTGCCAGGACTCGATTTTACTCCTCACGCTCTAGCGGGCGGAACGCGAAATGGAACCCATTGCCCAGGTGGACCGACACGCCAACCGTAATCCCCGTCACGTGACGTGGGCTCATCCGACCCTTGCACCCTTAGCAGCATGGCGGATCCGTGCGCGTAGAGGCTGTCGACGACTTTGGGGGCGTACAAGGGAGCGAGATGGAATATCTGCGACTTTGGTCTGGGTACGTTGAGCGCTTTGAGGGAATATCGGTGAGGGGCACAAGGTGCTGGCTGGCAGGTTTCGATTCAGAAGTTGCCCAGTGATCCGCTGCCGATGAGGCAGTCGCGCTAGCTCGCTTCGCGCGAGGGGTCCCACCGCCTGCGTGCATTGCCACTGGCCCTTGATTCACGCGAAACACATCATTACCGCTCGAGCGCCAGCCCCATCACGGGCGAAGCAATGTGAGCGTGAGGCGATGAGTGCATCTTGAAAAAGAATGTTGTGGAGAAACATAGTTACGACAAGTTCTGCTCGGCTCGCTCACCAGAACGCCTTACTGAAGGGAGAAACTGCGCACATCGATGCTACATATTCACATTTGCCCCTTGTTGTCCTATTGTAGATTCCAGGCCTCTTCAGCATTCTCACTCTATGCGTTGAGAACACAAGGGGAGCGGATCAATCAAGCTCGGGAACAACACATCAACACTCTTGAAAGGGTATTAAACTTCATTCGCTAATTATACAAAAATTGTTCTATCCACAGAAAGCCTTAGGCCTTGCCCTCGATAATCTCCTTGTGTGTACCTGGAACAGGTGCACCGTTGGTCTTGTTCTTCTCCTCATACTTCGCGCTGATGCCAGTCATACCGTTGGCAACCTTGTTGTCCTTGGACTTGGCCATGCCATTGTGAGTTCCGTTGAATCGAAGGTTGGCGATACCGGGGTAGCCCTGGACACCAGTGGCCTTCTCCAGGCGCGAAGCGATGTCCTCAGACACTTCCCTGAAGATGGCGATCTGGCGCTTGATGATCTCCTTGTTGGACACAGTCGACATGTGGCCAGAGATGTTGTTGATCCAGCGGTCCTTGGCAGCGTCGTCAAAGACCTTCTCCCACAGTGTGCGTGGTGCGTTGAAGTCCTCTGGTCGGATTTCGGACAGGAAGGTGATAGCTTCGCCAGTGAAGTTTCCGTGGAGCTTGTCAAGGTCGACAGTGCGCTCCTTGAAGCTGATGGGCTGAATGCTGCTGAGATAGTTGGGCCTCGATCCCTGGTTGTAGAATGCCATGTTCCCATCTCGCTGGAAGTTACCCATGCGGTATGCGACACGTGGGGAGTTGACCGGCAGTTGTTGGTAGTTGGCGCCGATACGGTGGCGGTGGGTATCGGGGTAAGAGAACAGGCGGGACTGGAGGAGGGGGTCCGCACTGGGCTCGATACCTGGAACCAAGTGTGCGGGGTTGAATGCGACTTGCTCGACCTCAGCGAAGTAGTTCTGCACGTTCTCGTTCAGAAAGAACTCGCCGACCTTGCGGAGCGGGAACTGGCTCTGAGGCCAGACGTGTGTCATGTCGAACACGTTGATCTTCTGCTTCTCCCAGACCTCCTCAGCCTCCTTCGCGGTCATGGTCTGGAACATGACGTCCCAGCCAGGGAAGTCACCCTTCTCGATGGACTGGTAAAGGTCCTTGGTCGAGTAGTCAGGGCCGTAGTTGAAGGAGTCTTCTTGTGTGATGAAAGCAGTGCCCTGCTTGCTCTTGAAGTGCAACTGGCAGTATACCCAGTCGCCATTCTTGTTCTGAAGCTTGTGAGTGTGGCCGTGGTATCCATGCATCTTGCGGTAACCATCGGGGATACCACGGTCACCGAAGAGGATCATGAACTGATGGGCGGACTCCGGGTTTTGAGAAGCAAAATCCCAGAAGGCTGTCGCATCATCTGCGTGGGTAAGGTGGGTTGCGGGATCGCGCTTTTGAGTATGCTATCCTGGATCTTAGCGACTGTTTTGTGCCTGACTATCACGGAGGAACTTACGATGAAGTGAGGGAACTTGGCGGGATCCCTAATGAAGAAGACAGGAGTGTTGTTCGCAACTACATCCCAGTTGCCTTCGTCGGTGCGGAACTTGACACTGAAACCCCTAGGGTCACGGGCGCAGTCGTGCGAGCCAGACTCGCCACCGACCGTCGAGAATCGAACGGTGACGGGGCAAGACTTCCCTTGCTTGAAGATGT